AAACAATTGCATCTTCTTGGCAAATGCGTTTCTATTCATCTCTGGCTGATAAGACGTAATGCCTTGCTTGAATGGCTACCGGCAGAGGGGTGTAAGGTATTATATTGAATAGCTGACTAAAACCGTACCAAAAACAGTGATTAATATCATATCTTCGTAAGTAGTTATCCAATGTTAACGGGAAAAGCGTGAAAATGTTCATAATCATGAAATACAACATTATTCGTAGCCCACTATATAAATTATGGCATAACATTATAAAATAAATGTGCATTAGTCAAGGATTGCTTATGTGTAGGTGTGAAAACCTACGAGATTAATCACAAGATAAAGGCTAATCCTTTTTTCCATTTAGCCATGGATCTCAACCTGCAATTTATTCGTGATGTTGGTGACGGACTTTAAGGTTTTAAGATACCCTGCTTGCAAAACATTTGTTTCCAAAAAAATGTTGATTTGATAAAGAGGTGAAATCACAAGAATCAGGATAATGATGCAGTGATAAGAAGAAAGGTATGGCGAATTATTAGAAGGCACATAATGAACACTAAATGTTAAAAAAAACGTTAATATTTCACGAAAGTACGCAAAGGAGTGGATGTTACGATTTAGTTATAAAACACCTAACAAAACTGTCTCTAGAAAATGGTATAAACCAGATAAATAAATGAAAAATAATAAAACTTTAGATAGTTATAAATACGACGTAAAACGAATAAAATCTTTACCAATTTGTTATTCAAAAAGTCGATTTATTTATAGTGTAATCGGTAATCTTGATTTATTATGTAAATGTTCTATAGACGTTTATAGCGCTATCCTCAATTATGCAGGTGGAGTCTGGTATAAAGGTAAATGTAGGCCTAGAAGGTAGAAGAATAACCCATAACTTGCAGCTTAATTGTGTTGAATTGCGTATGGTGGTGGTCTGTGACAACCTATCAGCCGTAAAGAGGCGCTTATAGTAGCTACATGTTCATATCATGCCACAACGACAGGGGCTAAAATGAACCATAGCATCGGGGTAACCCCCTACTCTTCAGAAAGATGCAAAGGGTTTTTAAAATGCATACATGATTGCACCATCGTCTGCATAATGGAGCATCTAACAATCATCGTAAATGGAAGAGGGCATGTTATTAATTTAGACGATAAAATGAAAGGGACAAAGAAGAGTTACCTGCGGACACCCCACCTAATTTCTTTTCTGATTTTATACTATTTATATCAACTATTTGTTTACGGGTAGATTAATCTCTGAACCATTTTACTGATTTAAATCCCAAGTGAGAGAGCTTATTATCGGAAATAAAGTCGTATATTGAATTGAATTGAATTAAGTTGAAAATATTTCAACTTACAGAGTCAAAAGACTTTTGTACGTCCAATCACACAATTCCAATGAGATATGTATCAGTAGAAAGATTTTTGGAACCAGGATTGAAATTGATATACTGTGATTTTCATACAAATAACTGACTACTTGAAAGTACCCCACTCGTACGAAAAAAAGACAAAGCTTAGTATACTGCCCTGCTCTGAGAAAAGGCATTAAGTACATTTTTTTTCAAAATTGAGATTTTTAGCTTATGTGACTCCTGAATGTCTAATCTATCACCCTATTTTATCAAATTTCCAAAAATATGTC